TGTCATCGCGTGCCAAAAGCAGGGGAGCGGGGGGGGTTGTGTGCGTGCCCACACCCATAATTTAATGTGCCCTGCACATGCACGTGTGCCCCCCCCATTCCCCCCGCTTTTGGCACATGATGGCACAGTAGGCCCATTTTTCACCCTCCCCAGGCTCCAGAGGCTTTTTTGGTGCCTGGGGTGGGTGAAAACAGCCTTCCCCCCCCCCGAGGCCCTCCAGAGGCTGGAAACAGCCCGTTTCCCGACTTCTGGTGGGACCGGAAGGCCCGTTTTTCACTTTCCCAGACTCCAGAGGCTTTCTAGGAGCCTGGGGAGGGTGAAAACGGCCTCCCCTTCCCCCCCCCGGAGGCCCTCCGGAGACCAGAAACAGCCCGTTTCCCGACTTCCGGTGGGCCTGGAAGGCCCAAAAATCAGCTGGCCGGCACGCACATGTACGCTGGAGCTGAGCTAGGGCAACGCTCGCATGCCCACAGATATGGCTCCATGTGCCATCTGTGGCACGTGTGCCATAGGTTCGCCATTACGGGTATAGAGACCTCCTCCAAGATCTCTTCCAACTCTGTTATTCTTTTATTGGAACTATAACTCCAATTTCCCATTCAACAGTGGAAAATGCTAGGTGGTGTTACTACAAGAAGCTCATACTGAGTTTCCTTCAACAGATGGGGAGCCTAGCCCAGTAATAAAGCACAGTTTTGCTTGCAGAGAAATCCTGGTTCAACCTTCAGCATCCCCAGAAAGGTGGAGATATTCCCTAGTCACCTGTCTTAAACCCTAGAAACCTATTGCCAGTTAGCATTGACAAAATTAGGCTCGTATGAATTTTTGTCCACTACTAGTCCAGAAACTGATTAAGTATACGTTCCTAGGATTTCATACATGATCCAGTTGACAAAGTACAGTAAAACATATTGATTATTATATTAGTTAAGTGTGGTCTTCATGGCATGTCTGTCAATTGCTCCATTGTTGGTGTGAAAAACCACACTTAAACCGGGCTCATCACTGTTGTGTTACGAGTCAACTATTAAGTGTTGTGTCTCAGTGATTTGAATGAAGAGGTGGATGATATGTTTATTAGTCCCAAATATTGTTATGACACAAAACTGATGGAGTAGCTAATACTCTAGAAGATCAAAACAAAATTCAGATGACCTTGTTAAATTAAAGCTAAAAATAACAGAATAAAAATCAATTGCATATGTAGGTATCGGATGGAGGATACTTAACCTGGTGGAAAAATGTGTTGGAACTGCAGACGATAACAACCGGAATATGAGTCAGCAGTGAGACTTAGCTTTTAAAAAGATAAATACAACATATGGTTGCATCGATCCAAATACGCCTTCCAAATTTCAGGACGTAATATTTTTGCTTCATGTATGGCACCATAACTTAAAACTGGGCTTTCGGAAAGATTCACATCAAACGGAATCAGTACAGAGCAGAAAACTAAGGAAGCTACAAGGAAAGAATAAGAAAATCAGTACAGCACTTTTTTTTTTTCCTCGAGAAAACACAACTGAAAGGGACTAGCACTTTTCAAGTATTTGAAAAGATGTCACAAAGAGGAAGAGCGTGACCTGTTTTCTCTTATCCCAGAATAGAGGGGGATGGAATAAATTCTAAGAAAGTATAATGTGGTTAAAGGCTAGGGGGAAAAAAAACTCACAAACAGTAAAAGCAGCACAGGAGTGGTTCCAATTATCCAGAGAGGTGGTGGACTCCCATTCACCAAAGACTTTCAAGCAAAGGGTTGACAGTCCTCGGTCTGAGATGCTTTGATTTGAATTCCTGTATTGAGCAGAGGGTTGGACTTGATGGTTTCAGGGACCTCTTTCAATCCTCTGATCCAGGGGTGTCAAACTCAATTCCATTGAGGGCCACATCAGGGTTGTGTTTGACCTAAGGAGGGGCATGTGTGTGTGTGTGGCCAGGTGGGCATGGCCAGCTCAACATCACTCATGTCGGGGGCACCTGTGGCAGCCCGAGTGCTATGCCGGTGAAAATGGGCTCCCGAGCTCCGTTTTCGGCTGCGATGGTCTCCTGCAACCCTCTGCCAGTGAAAACGGAGCTCAGGAGGGCTGCATACGACCCTCCCGAGCTCCGGTTTTCTCTGGTTTTCTCTTGTGGGCCAGTCCTTTGCTGTTTCCAGGGCGGACCTGCGGGCCAGATCTAAGCACCCCGCAGGCCGGATCCAGAGTTTGACACCCCTGCTCTAATCCTATGAATCTCTGACTTTCAACTGACAACTGTCCCTCTTTTGGGCCATAAATAACAATACGTATGGGAGGAAAAGAACTAACCATAGGAGCAATTATTATCAGTGTTTGCCTAGGTAAGTGTGAATGAGAAATGAGAAAAGGATCCTTTTCCATCCTGATGAGAAAGGATCAGCTATTATTTAGATAACCTTGAAAATGCAACTTTGGACATAGAGTTTATCCAAAATTCATGTTCATTGTACTGATGACACTGTAACCATGTCATCCCCATCTCCTTCTGCCTTCCATGTTTTCCAATATCAGGGCCTTTTCCAAGGAGTCCTCTTTTCTCATTTGGTGGCCAAAGTATTTGAGCTTCAGTATCCGCCCTTCCAAAGAACAGCTGGTTGATTTCCTTTAGGATCGACTGATTGGATCTCCTTGCTGTCCAAAGAACTCTCAAGAGTCTTCTCCAGCACCGCAATTCGAAAGCATTGTTCACTGAAGACTTTCGAGCAAAGGCTTGACAGTCAGAATCAAGTCTTTTTTTAATCTTTGGCATTGTGGTGTTAGGAATGTGCAGCAAACCGTATCTTGCTGAATTCCATTTCAGAGAAAAAGAAAGATGGGAAGGAAGACAATTCATAGATCCATAGATAACTGGAAAGGCAGATCAAAAACACCTCCAATCCCCAATCTATGCCAAGCGGATTTGAAATCTCAAATTAGCACTAACTAGACGGCACATTATCTATCCGTCCATCCATCCACCCATATCCATTTATATCTACCTACCTACGTACCTATTTACCATCCATCTATCTATCATCTACCTATCATCCATCTATCTATCTATCTATCTATCTATCTATCTATCTATCTATCTATCTATCTTTCTATCATCTACCTATCATCCATCTATCTATCTGTCCGTCTATCTATCTATCTATCTATCTATCTATCTATCTATCTATCTATCTATCTATCTTCAAATTTATTTACTGCTCCTTTCATATCCAATGACATTAGACAATTAGATCTATTGGGATCCTTATATTAAAACAATGTATTTCATGTGTGGTCAGAATTCAAAAGCCACACATAACACAGCCCTTTATTTGAACAAAATAGTTCCCTTGAGATCTGCAGATGTGGGTCTGATTGAGATCAATTGTCGGGGTGACAGAATTATTGATTTCCATTCTTTTTATTTCATCTGTTTCTTCCATTCCATTTTTTGCATATGGTTTTACTAAGGTTTCCGTGCTTTACGTTCTGTATTTTGAGATGGCCTACTGGCTAAACAACAATAAAGTTATCAAACTGAAAATAAAAGTTAGCACCTACAGTCCATTGAGGTCCTGCCCTTGGCTGGAAAGTGAGGAACCTGCAGGAAACTCATTACTATATACATGTATTCATAAATCAAGAAGTTGGGCTTAGACAACTTAGAACTGTGATGGCGAACCTATGGCATGGGTGCCACAGGTGGCACATGGAGCCATATCTGAGGGCACAGGAGTTCAACTCCAGCACACATGTGCCCGCCAGCCAGCTGATTTTCGGGCCTTCCGGGCCCGCCGGAAGTTGAAAAATGGGCTGTTTCCGGCCTCCAGAGGGCCTCCTGGGGGTGTTGAGGAAGGCTGTTTTTGCCCTCCCCAGGCTCCTAGAAAGCCTCTGGAGCCTGGGGAGAGTGAAAAATGGGCCCACTGTGCCATCGCATGCCAAAAATGGGGGGAGCGCAGGAGGAGCACGTGCACGTGCGCAGGAGGGTGGGGCACGGGTGGGCATTGAATTATGGGTGTGGGCACGCACGCGCACGATCCCCCCGCCCTCCCCCCGCTTTTGGCACACGACGGCAAAAAGGTTAGCCATCACTGACTTAGAACTTCTCTATCTTCGGTCTGACCTAACCATAGTACATAAAATCATCTGCTACAATCATCTCCTACTTCAGCTTCAACCAAAACAATACAAAAGCACACAATAGATACAAACTCATGGTAAACCGATGCAAACTAGACGGCAAAAAATACAACTTCAGCAACAGAGCGGTCAACGCCTGGAATGCACTACCTGACTCTGTGATTTCTTCCCCAAATCCCCAAAACTTTAACCTTAGACTGTCTACTGTAGACCTCACCCCATTCCTAAGAGGTCTGTAAGGGGACGTGCACAGGGGTGAAATGTTCCCGGATCAGACCGGACTGCCCGATCCGGGAGCGATTTTTCCCTGTGCTTTGGCGATCCGGTAGCGATCGCCGCCTGGGTGTCATTACTTCCTGGTTTTAACCAGGAAGTAATGTTTTTTTTACCTTTTGCGCATGCACAGATGGTGCACACATGCACCTGACATGTGAGGTGCATGCGCTTCTGAACCGGTAAGGAAGGTAAGTAGATTTCACCCCTAGGTGTTCATAAGCGCACCAGCGTGCCTACCGTCCCTGTCCTAATGTTTCCTTTTATTCGTATCCTTTTCATGTATTTATAATTATGTTTACACCTGTATCTGTCATAAAATACATGCTTGACGAAATAAAATAAATAAATAAAATAAAAGTAAAACCTTGATCTATGGATAGGCAGCAAAGGTAGGACAATTTTTTTTAAAAAAAAGAAAGGAGGGGGGAGTAAATCATTTGATGGTGCTGTTGTGAGCTGCAAAAGACATTTTCTGCTTTACAAGGCATGTTGGCTTGGAACCGTACCCAGATCTCATTTCTGATTCTCTTCCCTCTCCTCTTTTCTCCTTTTGCCTATTTTCTTTTTTCTTTTTGGTCACCATATGATGCTCAGGGACTCCAGAGAGCCTAGCGGAGAAAGAGAGGCAGCTTATGGGCATGATCAATCAGCTGACCAGTTTGCGGGAGCAGCTGCTGGCGGCTCACGACGAGCAGAAGAAATTGGCGGCCTCGCAAATTGAGAAGCAGCGCCAGCAAATGGAGCTGGCCAAGCAGCAGCAAGAACAGGTGAGCGGTTATTAAAAGGGACTTTTAATCTAGTCCTGCTTTGGCATCGGGGAGGCAGGAGATTAGCACTCTATTAACGCGTCTTTATTTCTAAGAGAGGCTGAAATATTCACGGAACTGTTCCCAGAGGGCTGGGAAGATTTTAAAAAAGGGGAAAAAAAAGAAAGTTAAATGGAATATACAACAGGAGGTGTTATTTTCAGCATGCTGTGGAAGAGAGGAGCAGATCCCAGAGTTTTTGACATAATGATATTGTCCAAATTATGGAGAGTGTGTTTGAAGTGGGGTACTTAAAACCACCCCACCCCCTAATCCTGCTCTTACTTCCCTGCCCCAAAGATCAGGGGGCGGCCCCATGTAGCCCTATCAAAAGAGTAGGGTTGAGAGATGAGAATAGGGGCAACGCATCTTAAATGTTCTTTCCTCCCCACGCTTTCAGTTTCAATCCATTTAAATCTGACTCCATTAAATTTTATAATGCCGGTAGTCCTCGACGTACGATCTCGATTGAGCCCAACATTTCTTTTACTAAGTGAGGCACTTGTTAAATGAGTTGTATGCCTCATTTTACGAGGCTTTCTTGCCACAGTTGTTAAGAGAATTAACAACTGCAGTTATTAGAGCCTTGGTAGTACAGTGGTCTAAAGCACCCTGTTATTAACACAGCTGCCTGCAATTACTGCAGGTTCGAATCTCACCAGGCTCAAGGTTGACTCAGCCTTCCATCCTTTCTAAGGTAGGTAAAATGAGGACCCAGTTTGTGGGGGCAATAAGCTGACTTTGTATAAATATATAAAAGTATGAAGGCTTAACGCATTGTAAGCCGCCCTGAGTCTCCGGAGAAGGGCGGCATATAAATCAAATTAAAAATAAAATAAATAAATAAAATATTAAGTTAGCAACACAATGGTTGAGTGAATCTGGCTTCCCCATTGACTTTGCTAGTCAGAAGGTCGCAAAAAGGGATTGCATGACCCCGGGACACTGCAACGGTCATAAATACAAATCAATGGTCAAGCATCTGAATTTTGATCACGTTACCACGGGGATGCTGCAGCGGCCGTGAGTGAGAAAATAGGTCATAGCTCACTTTTTTTTTCAGTGCTGTTGTAACTTCAAATGGTCACTAAACGAACCATTGTAAGTTGAGGACTACCTGCCAATATTTTAAAGGATTGTTTCAACAAATACGACCCCAGGACAGTGCAATTGTCAAAAATTCATGCCAATCATGCCCCAATTTTGGTCATGTGGCCATGGAGATGCTGCAACAGTCATAAGTGTGAAAAATGGTCACAAATCACTTTTTTCTCAATGCTGTTGTAAGTTCAAAAGGCCATTAAGTGAATGACTATAAGTCGAGGACTACCTGGACTTTAGAATTACTGACTTGACTATGTATAAAGTGTTTTTACATGGATGTTTGGCTTCTGATACTTTCTCGTACTGTCGTAATATGCGCAGTAAAATCTCGAGCCTTCTTCCATTCTGAAATTCATTGGGTACATTCCAGCGGTGGGATTCAGCCGGTTCTGTCCGGTTCGGGCAAATTGGTAGTGGCGATTGTGGGAGGCTTCGCCCACCCGGCCGGATGTAATGCGTGAGCACTGCGCATGCATGGAAGGTCATGCGCATACACAGAGCGCGCGCTCACATTTGCAAACCGGTAGAGAAGATAAGTGAATCCCACCTCTGGTATATTCACTAGACATTCCTACCCATGTTTAACTGAACCATGGTTTATTCAACATAATTTTCTGTGTTTGCCGTACGCACTCAGCCATACGCAATAAGGATGTGGATCTGCATAACATACTAAGCCAACCTCATTGCCTAGTTCACAACTGACAATCAGAAGAGGCAAACATCAAATTCCACGTCAGAAAAATTGGGATCTTCCCAAATCTAGGATTAGAATTCATTTATAGCGGAGTAAAAAATGGGCCTCCTTCCAGATTGGACAACCTGACCTGGAATGGGAGAAATTGGAATTTGGTAACATTTACCCTTGGCTTAAACCATTATTTCTCAACCTTGGCAGCTTGAAGATGGGTGGATGGGGGGTGGGTAGGAAATAGAGTTCCCCCTAGCTGGCAGGGGAATTCTGGGAGTTGAAGTCCATCCATCTTCAAGCTGCCAAGGTTGAGAACTCCTAACTGAAACTAAATATCTGAAGGATCTTCCATTTGGATGGATCAAGAGGGGTTTTTTTCCCCCCTTCCTTTAATCCAAATCTGAAATTTTCTCCACCTCATTTGCAAAATAGTTTATAATTTTTAATAATTTTATTTTAAGCTATTTATTTATTTATTTATTTATTTATTTATTTATTTATTTATTTATTTATTTATTAGTTTGATTTATATACCGCCCTTCTCCGGAGACTCAGGGTGGCTTACAATGCGTTAAGCAATAGCCTTCATCCTTTTGTATATACCTGCTTAGTAGGGCTTTCGCCCCCCCCCCCAAGCGGTATTCTTTTTTTATACAAAGTCATCTTATTGCCACCACAATCCGGGTCCTCATTTTACCTACCTCGAAAGGATGGAAGGCTGAGTCAACCTTGAGCCTGGCGAGATTCGAACTTGCAGTAATTGCAGGCAGCTGGCAGCACTTTAACAGCACTTTAGCCGCTGCGCCACCAAGGTTCTTATTATTATGTTGATGATTATTAAATGTAATAATCATTTTAAATTGAATAATTTAATAATAAATTAATTTTTACTACATACAGACTAAAAAAAAAAAAAGCCTTCTTCATCCAACCTGAACAAAATCAAGATAATTTTTTAGGATCAAAGGATCAACGCAAGGCAAAAATAAATGGAGATATAATCTGCAACTTGGACAAAATTAAAAGGAATTAAACAGATTTATGGGGGTTGAAGTGATCAGGGACTACTTATCATTATGATGGTGAATGTCAACTCCTATGCTATCAGTGAGCTTGTCGATCAGAAAGGTCGGCAGATCGGCAGTTCGAATCCCTATTACAGGTCTCCTGCGTGAGCAGGGGGTTGGACTAGATGACCTCCAAGGCCCCTTCCAATTCTGTTACTGTTACTGTTCCAGTGGCCGAGGAACACAAGTTAGAAAATGCTACGGCTTTCATGGGTATTTACCATTGTGTCACCCATCAAGAGCCTTCTAATATTCTTAGAATTGAATGAGAAAATATTTTCCAACCACTCCTATCCAAAATCACTTTTTTTTTTCAGTGTAAGAACAAGTGTTCAACTATGACTGCTACACATAATCAACACTTTATTGGGTAATAGAATGGGTGTATCAATGGTTTTAATTTGAACAAGACTGTTTATGGGCAAAGACCTAAGCCGATTTGGTCTTTTGAGACAGACACGCGCACGGATGCAAACATACATACATGGGCTATTAAATTACATGTACGTGTGTTGACCCTACAGATTGCAAGACAGCAGCAGCAACTTCTGCAACAACAACACAAAATCAACCTGCTTCAGCAACAGATCCAGGTCAGAGATTATGAATCTGTCCATTATTTCAATTATTCCAGTCCATTTTCCATACCTTTTCACTGTCTTCAATTCAGAGATGCAGTGCCAGTCATTAACAGAAGGGTTCCGTATATGTAGATGGAGGTCGGGTTTAAATTCAGGTTTTGGGACTTGAGGTCGGAGTGTACCGTATTTTTCTATGTATAAGATCAGTGGTGAAATTCAGACGGTTCTATCCGGCTCAGGCGAACTGGTAGCGCCGGTGGCGGGAGGCTCCGCCCACCTGCCCGGAAGTCATCACGTCCCATTTTTGACCCTCTGCACATGCGTGGGAGGAGGTTCGCGTGACCACTCTCACATTTGCAAACCGGTAAGTGATTTTCACCCTTGTATAAGATGCTACATTTTCTTTAAAATATTTACTTGAAAATGGAGGGGCATCTTATACACAGGAGGCCGAGAGAAGAAGGTGTGGCCCATCCCCGTCCTCCAGCTCTGCCGCACATGCCGGACGAGCCTCTACCTTATATGCATCTCTATCATTCCTCTCTATTGTAGTTGTTGTTCCTGTATCACATTGCCACTCTAGGTTTCATCTCTATTGCTCCTGTGATGCATTTCCTGATGTTGTATTACTCGCTCTCTAATAAGATGGTTTCTGCACAGTGATGGCTTGTAGTCTGCTTACTTACTTATTCTACATGAAACATGGGGGTGTCTTATAGATGGAAAAATACGGTATATCGGTTCATACTGGTTGAATTCTATATGAGTGAGGCAGTGGTGGGATCCTCCCAGCTTAACAACCGGTTCGGTGATCATGCGCTTCGCACGGATGCGCAATTTGAACAAATCTTCACTTCTGAGTTTATTCAGAGGAGTAACACAACTGATTCACACGGCAATCAGCTCTGCTGAGCGAATCAGCTAAGGAGATAAAGTGGGAAAATAGCACGGGCAGGCGGATGGGCCCATCTGATCGTCGGAGCGAACCGGTTTTCTCCCAGCTGATCATCAGAGCTACCGGTTCTCCCGAACCGGTCCGAACCGGTAGAATCCCACCACTGGAGTGAGGTCCATTGAAAGCTGGGTGGAAGGGGCCTAAGGAGACACATGAGTTGAGGGAGACATATCTCAAGCCCAATTGATTTAAATGCATCTTCACAATGTCAGTAACCACAATTGATTTCTTGTGATGCGTGGTGTTAAATGAACAGCTGCTTTTCTTGGGAAAACATCTGCAGGGGATTTTGGAGACATATTTATCACAGCTGTGAAACCCCATTCATTTGCTTGGTAGCTGGCACATTGGTACCGTACATAAACGGAATGGACCATGTTGTTCATGTTCCTTCTCACAATGGGAAGCCCATTCACACAGAAACATTTTTTTTTGTGTGTGTGGAAAAATCACAGCATGTGGGCAGTGCCATCTGTCACATAGCCAACCATACAGGTGATGGGGAATTATTTCTGTTGTGGCTGTAAATCCAAGATCCTGTTCTGTGACGATAGGTAGGATGAAGTTTAGAAGACAAATCTCCTTGCATAGTCTTCTAAGGCACAGGGTTATGCAAATGTTCTCACTATGTTCCTTGCTTGGTTGGCATTTCTCACATAAAAGGGAAGAGAGAAAAAAATAGGTTTCTGTACATTGGGAAAATTATGGCTGTAAACAGGTCCAACAAAGGATATTTTCTGGAAACTTTTTTTTACTACTGGAAGTAGTAACTTGTCCATCGTGTTGAGTGCAGGAGAAGATTTTGGCTTAGTTGGAGGTCTTTTCCAACTGCTTTTCCAAATTCTGCTCATTTCACAAAATTGATAAAATTATGAGAAAATGACGCTAAAATGATGCGATCAATGTTAAGACATTATGGTTTGAATATTTAAGATGCAGACAATTGTCTTTCTCCTCCTCCTCCTCCTCCTCCTCCTCCTCCTCCTCCTCCTCCTCCTCCTCCTCCTCCTCTGTTTAAAATCCTACTTCCTAGAGCCAATTTTCTATTAAAGCTGACTAACTTCACAGTAATTCTTGTGCATGCTGTGTGAAGTGTTCATTGATTTTAATTTATATTTCATAAACTATCCTAATTTTTTGAGAGTTGTATTGTCGGAGGATTGATTTATTGACTGACTGATTTGATTTGATTTATGTAGCTGTCCATCTGACATATGTGGCTTACAGTTCAATAAATAAAATTCATAAACCACACTGTATAAAAAAAATAAAAATAAAACATGTAGCAGCCAGCCGTCATCCAACCAATTATCTCTTAGCCAGGAGACAGTCTCTACCCCACTCCAGGTTTAGGCATAAAGCCAAAATTTCAAGGCCTTGTAGAAAGCCCTGAGGGACAGGGACAATCTTAAGAGAAAGATGTTGCAAAAAGTGGGCACCATAACAGAAAAGGGGCTCTCTTTTTGGAGCCCATAAAGCGAAAGTAGCTAGAGCATGTCCCTCATCAGGTAGAACCAAGATCTGGGAAAAGACAGTATTGTAAATAACCTGACCCCAAGCCATGATGGTCTTTAAAGGTGGCAACAAACACCTTGAATTGCACACACACTGACTGCACACCAGCAGTCAGTAACGCTTTGGAGAGCAATGGTGTCTCAAACTTCAAAGTAATCAGTGCCAGTAACTATCTACACCAGGGGAGTCAAACTCGCGTCGTCATGGCCGTGTCACATGACGTATCGTGACTCCCCCCCCTTCGCTAGACTGAGTGTTAGCATGGCCAGTATATGACGCATCCGGCCTGTGGGCCACGAGTTTGACAGCCCTGATCTATATCATCACATTCTGCGCTATTTGAAATGTTGCTCAAGAACAGCCCATATAAAGCACATTGCACTAATCCAGTCTGGACATCACAAGGGCACAAGCGACCTGGAGCAGAGCTTCCCAGAATGGGCACTAATCAGAGGTGGGTTTCAGTAGGTTCTGACCAGTTCTGGAGAACCGGTAGTGGAAATTTTGAGTAGTTTGGAGAACCGGTAAATACCACTTCTGACTGGCCCTGCCCTCATCTATTCTCTGCCTTCCGAGTCCCGAGCTGATCGGGAGAAAATGGGGATTTTGCAGTAATCTTACCCTGGATTGGGGTGGGAATGGAGATTTGACAGTATCCTTCCCCTGCCACGCCGACCAAGCCATGCCACGCCCACCAAGCCACACCCACAGAACCAGTAGTAAAAAATTTTGAAACCCACCACTGGCACTAATGTACAATCTCAAGTTGTGCAAAAAGCCTTCTTACCCACAGCTGCCACCTGCTCTTAGAGAGGAGTTACAGCTTGGCAAACTCCCAAATGCTATGCCACGCCATGCCATGCTGTGACTTTCCCTCCCTCCCTCCTTCCTTCCTTCCTTCCTTCCTTCCTTCCTTCCTTCCTTCCTTCCTTCCTTCCTTCCTTCCTTCCTTCCTTCCTTCCTTCCTTCCTTCTAGAAAATTCCTAGCTAACCCAGGACCTGACACCACTGGTGGGATTCAGCCAGTTCGCACCACTTCGGGAGAACCGGTTGTTAACTTTCTGAGCAGTTTGGCAAACTGGTTGTTGGAAGAAATCTTAGGGCAGAGAACCGGTTGTTAAATTACTTTTTTTTAATTTTTTTTATTTAATTTTATTTATTTTTATTTTTATTTTTTTAATTTGATTTATATGCCGCCCTTCTCCGGAGACTCAGGGCGGCTTACAATGCGTTAAGCAATAGCCTTCATTCTTTTGTATATTTTATACAAAGTCAGCTTATTGCCCCCACAAACTGGGTCCTCATTTCACCTACCTTAGAAAGGATGGAAGGCTGAGTCAACCTTGAGCCTTGGAGAGATTCGAACCAGCAGAAATTGCAGGCAGCTGTGTTAATCCCACCGCTGCCTGACACCCATTGCTATGAGTTCCATCCATCTAGCTACAAATCCCATCCTAGGAGCCCCTCACCTCATTTTGTATCCAGTGAGGTTTGGTGGTCTTTCTACCAAATGCAATTTCCCTTCATTCTAAGATTCAGGCTGCCTTGGAGCAAACATTTTGGTTTCCAGACTCCGTCCTTTCTTGGGAAGAAGGATATTTACTTCTCCTGCCCGCCACTCTTTTGCAACGTGGCCAACTCCCAGGCATCTCTTACACCGCGGGCATTTTTAAGAATGCTTTTATTTTATTTATTTATTTCCCCGCCATATGCTGTGCATATGGAATGGCCCAGCAGGACGCCAAGGGGGCCGAGAGAGGAGACGAAAACTCTTGTCCATTGAACTGACCTGCTACGGGGAGCATTAATACGCCATATGATTCGCATCTCGACCATGTGGAGAACATGGAGTCATGAGCACTTTTCCTTGGCAGCCAGAAAAGGCCGTTTCTGCTGAGGGAAGGTGAAAAAAGAGAGAGGGAAAGAAAAAGAGAGAGAGAGAGAGAGATGATTCAAGCAAGATAACAATAAATTTTTTTACTGCTGGCTGGTGAAGGGAGTTTAGGACGTTGTTTTCTTTATATCTCCGTCCGCCCCTAATTGACGATGCTTTAAAATTGAATGACTAGCAGTCAAAACGTGTTTGCTTCAAGCTGAGAAGAAAAATGCCGGTGTCGGTGCTTCCAAACTGATTGCGCTTTGTACACAAGTGACAGCCGCAGTCACTTTGAGTGACTGATAAGTGGGAAGCTTTGCAGCTTATCAAGGAATGCGCAGCCGAATAAGAAAAGGACTTTGAGCCATTCAGATACGTTGGCATGTTCAGAATCACATCTCACATCCCACATCAGCCTCGGGGAAGCACAGGGAGACATTGCGAAATAAATTTTTGTACCCCTCCATCTTGCTGGCTGGAGGGAAAAATTCAGGGTAACAGGGCGGCATCACAGAGTTTCTCGGCGTTTCCCGAAAAGGAGACCATCATTCATAGGCTGATCTGTAGAGGGGGAGGAGAACCTTTGCCTGGCCTCCTTCCCTGTGAATTTTATTTTGAACTGAGTGAAGAGCACTGATTATGTCACCTAGTTTGGTCAAGAAACGT